TCATGAAGGGAAATCAGCGGACATGGGTTAGGGAGTTCCACTATTACGCTATTACGCTTCTACGCTGCAATAGGTCATCGTCCGCGTCGAATTTATGCCTATGACAGAGCCGCCTTTCACTATCTTGTACAACTTCAGCCAGCCACTGCTTAAACAATATCCTTCTTACGAGAGGCACCGCTATCGTCTTTGATCCTCGCATCTGCCTTTTTTCAATGAAAATAGGGATTTCCTGAAGAAATCATATCGCCTTATAGAATGCTGGCAATGTTCCAAAGTCAGCATTACGGTGTGGGCGATCCTAATAAGTTTAGCTGGTGTGGCCGTTCATGTTAATCTAGTTTCGGCAGTGGCGCCTCTTGACCCACAGACAAAAACGTAGGGCGTTGTCTAAATCCTTCCGTCACAGCTCCGCCATGACGTCATTCCCGACGCGCCGCTTGCGCGTGCCCACTTTCCATGGACTCAGCACTACAGCGCTCTACTACGAATCGATACGGTAACTGAACAATGTCCGTCAATGCACATTACACTGCTGTCCGTTTTTACTTACTGTATGCATATCCAATTCACGTTTATACTCCAATTTAGTCCAATTTAGTCCACGTAATCCGCTTTCCAGGTGAACGTTCACGTTTCAGACCGTGACGAACGTGATCTGTTATATCCGTTCGGCGATAGTCTTCTACTGCCTTTTCAACGACACGGTCCATTACTGCACACCTCTATAGGTCTCCTTGTCAGCACGATTTTTGTTGATGATCACCGATGATGTGTTTTGACCGAGTGTGCATGCATACACAATAGCGATCGATTATCGATTGCTCTTAGTCAATGGCTGGGCCTTTTCACGAAAAGAAAGTAAAGCACGCTTTCTTGCTTTTGCAAACAAATTCGTTCTGAGTAGCGGAGCCTATTTTCGACGGCAAAATTGAAAAAAAGCGCGTTGAGTGATGTAGAGGACTCATAGAGTCCATATTGTGGTCGAATATTGATCGATGTTAATCGATAATTTTTCAGAACCTGATCGAATGGCTCTTAAAGGAGAGCGAGGTGAACCGGGTCCACCGGGAGTGGTACGTTTACCAAGGTGTCGATTGAACAGTCTGAAATCGGAAAATTTTGTCGTTCAGTGCCTACAACAATGCCGCGATGGTATGCCCGGACCAAGTGGCCCTATTGGACCACAAGGACCTCAAGGAGTTGAAGGTCAGTTGACGGGGGATCGGAGTTTTTTAGGTTTAACGTTTGAATAAGATCATTACCCAATGGACAAGAAATGTAGTAGCTGTGGAGATTTCTAAACTGTGAGATGATCGATAGCGGACGCGGGCAGCCGCGATGCGGCACAGCCAGTGGCTCAGAAAGCTCTGTTGATTCATTGGCCTGCTCCACAGTCTTCTACGATCATAGCTACCATGACGCACGGGTTGTATAACATGGCGCTGGTATATGCAAGTTATTTTTACAGGGCCTCCTGGACCACCTGGCCCTCCTGGAGAACCTGGATATGTCCAGCAAGCGACATATGACGGTCCCATCCAAGCAATGCCTGGACCACCTGGTGTTGCTGGTCCTCCTGGACCTCCAGGTCCGCAAGGAATTCAAGGTAAGCTGGTTGACTAAGGGCTAGAACTCATGTCGTTCGCTACCAGAAAAAATCATAACTTTCAGGTCCACGAGGCGAGACGGGCTATCCCGGTCGTGATGGCCGCGATTTCCAAGGTCTATCCGATCGCGACATTGAGCTGATTGTGAGACATCCATTACTGAAGGTAAGAAATAGCCCGTTGCCTGTAGGTGTCGGTACTGATTCGAACTGTAAACTAAGGGAGAGAAAGGCGAATGTGTTCAATCTACGACGACCGTCTTCCAACCAGCGGCCGACGATGTGCGAACGTATTACGAACGGGAAAGGGAACGCGTTGGTTTGAAAGGCGAAAAGGTAGATACAGCTTCGATAGGGGACGGAACATTCACCCAGAACTGAGTGGACGCGGCTAACCGCGCGGCAAAATTCGTGGCGATTAAAACGACTCGGGCGCCTGTCATTGTGGCACAAATTCGAAGTAGGATAGATGAGTAGCGTCAGCTGGCCCTATTTATCCAATCTACTTGAAACCCGTGCCCTAATGATAGGCTTCAGAGCCGTTTTAATCACCACGAATTTCGCCGCGCGGTTTGCCGCGTCTATTCAGTTCTGGGTGAATGTACCCATACCCCAGCATCGATTACTTAGTTCTGGAAAGGTAAATGTGAAATTCAAGGGCGATCGCGGCATGCCAGGGCCACCAGGACCACCCGGTGCACCGGGAACAGCACAGCAGGTGGCATATGGAGGAGATGCATGTAAGTGAAATTCACAATTTATGCGAGCTTCCTTCAGATACGTTAATGATGAGGAAAAGCAATGATAAAAGAGGTTTTCATGAAATCTGTGGTTCGTAAGATCGAATCCTTCCATAGCTCTTATTTTATCCATTATGAACAAGGGTCGAATATGTCGAGCCTCGAGAGTAGGAAGGAATTTACAACGGTTGCGTTGGAATATAAGGGTTGAAGGCATCTGACCCAAGCCTAATGCGTCTTAAGCGAGCATCCTAAGACTGCATACTAGAGTGGATGATACATTGCCGGATTTATGGGCTCCTCTCTCTCTATGTTTGAAGAATTTACGAATTCTTCGACAGGGCCTATATGTATCACACCTTTTCCTCGAGCTTTTCTCTTTGCAGCCTTCAACGGACTATTTCGTTAGGGCCACCGCTATGGCATATCCTGACCCCTATCTGAAACTCTGTTGCCTCTGTCGTGGAGCTTTCGAATACATGCGTTGAATTTCTGACCAGACTCCCGGCGCTAACAGAATTCAGTAATAACTGGCTCACCAAAATATCCAGAAGAAATGTCATTTACGAATGGACTGGCTCTTACGTCAACCAGTGCTTCTTCAAAGATCCCTTAGTAGTAGTTTGGAAGGTTATTTTTCTCATTTCAGCCATTGTAAGAGTTTATCCGAGCACACATGAACTATTCTCATCTCGTGTGCAGATTGGTACGTTGGCTTTTGCCACGGCCACTCAACAACTATATATCAAAGTGAACAACGGTTGGAAAGAGGTTGCGGTGAGTCTTGTACTTTATTTAGGAATCGCCACGCAACCGCCACGCTCGCGTCACTGCCCTGCAATCTTTGCAGTGAATGAGCTCAAATTAAGCGCAATTTCTTGTTCTTCAGTGAACTTATTTCAGCTCGGAGCCTTCTATCCGATGGTAGAACAGCGTCAATCAGTGGTGAGTTGATTTCTGAAGCCTTGTGCTAACTTGTAGTTTTGATTCCCCCCAAATGAATCTCTTTGTGTTTATCAAGGGGTCACATTGTTTCACTTCCTCTGAATTTTGTCGATCAATTATCAATCAAAGTAGATCTGTATAATTGTAACTATTCTTGTTGTCGAATTAGACGGCGAAGGAGAGGATTATGCTAAAAAGTGGCAGAATGGAATTTTCTGCTGACATTTTGGAATGATATATGAGCTCACAGTGCTTAATGAAAATAGGCTTCACGATCCGTAGATTACGGAAAGATAGGCTTCCAATTCGTGGTCCATGTGCAGAATTTGGTTTGCGAAAACCTTCAAATTTGGTACTAGTCACATATTCAGCATCAGAAGATTGACCTTGGAAGAAAATATGATATACACAGGCAGACTTCACATTTGTCCTTTTTGAATATTCCCGGTAATTAATATATAAGAGTTTGCTCCTGTATGGCTGCTTTCATAGTCCGCGATTTGGCCCGCGAGCGAGTGAGCGACAGGGGAACACCGTCCGGCGGAATTGACCAAGATTCAGTTGTAAACAAGAGGCAAGCGCCGCCCTCGTCGCACGCTCGCTCGCTCGTGGGCCAAATCGCGGATCATGAAAGCAGCCTATCATTGGTATCATGCTTCTTTGACGCAAATTTTCCTGACTTGTATCCATTCTTTTCTGTTATGAGCGGTACTTTTACCTTAATCTTCTTTCCTTCCTTTGCATGTTTCTCCGGGTACTACTCTTTCTACAATTTGTTCTGCTTTCTGATCGTTGGACCTGTGCTTTCCGTTGCCATTGAAGCTTCCATGTGTCTCCTCTGTCTTGCATTTTCTCTTTCGCTATCAATTATTTGTCTTCTTCACTGTTCCACGATATCTTCTCACTAATGGTCCTTATGGCTCCATGAGTGGCTGCTTTCAGACTTCGATGATTCTACCACCCTGCGCGCCGGCACGCCGGTAGAATCGCTGGTAGAATCGCGCGTGTGAGCAAGCGTGCGTGTTGTGAGGTCGGCTTTAGCCAACACTGTGACAGCACTGGTGGAACCGATTGGTACTGCAAATTGAGGATGACTAGTTTTTGTGCGTTTTGAGTGTCGACCGCCGTTTTTGTAGTGTGGGAGTGCCACGAAAACTAGTCATCCTCTATTTGCGGTATAGATCGGTACCTCCAGTGCTGTCACAGTGTTGGCTAGAGCCGCGTCGCAACTCGCTCGCTTCCTCGCACGCGCGATTCCACCAGCAATTCTAGCGCGTGCCGGCGTCGAAGTCTGAAAGCAGCCATTAGTTGTCTCCATAACTATGATCGTGTACATAGCATATCAAGTGTATGTGTAGGAAGGAGAAGAGATGGATGGTCGGGGTGCAGGGTGAAGAAGAGTGGTGTAGGATCCTTGATAATTTGAACATTTCCATCCGTCAGTGCCGCATCCTTAAGTTCATATAATTTCCCTTTTTTGTCCTCAAAATTACCTTTGCACAGAGCTTTTTTTTGAGGGGTTTCTCTGAATGGGACAGTGCCTCGAAATTATAAAAGACTTGATTTGTGATGCGGGTTGAATTGAACTTATGATGCAGTACTTTTCTTGTGTTTTTTGGAAGTTCGGGCCTCCGTTCCTCCAAAACCTTTTTTATTTTTGTTTACCGTTTTAGCCGATAGTTTCTGAGCCCGATTTGCAGTCGAATCATCTGGAATATTGGGTGAGAACAAATGTTGTGTATGTTCCGGCACACGTCACTGTCATACTCGTTCACATTTGCCGGACAAGGGTTTCAATGCATCTTCAGGCGGTAATTCACGAGGTTAATGACTGTCATCATGACCTTGTCTGACGCGGTCGCGACCGCGTCGCTTGACATTGTCATCAATTGCGGCCAACACTTCGTAAATTATGCCTTTGTAAACATGATGCAATGAAATCTGTTCATTTACGATAGCTATGTAAAAATGTTGTGTCCCCGTAGAATAATGGCAGCTGATAAGTGGCAGTGATTTATAAAATCGATATCAATCAATATTTGGTTGTTCTTAGCGAGATCGTGAGACCATGTCTCGACATCGACCCTGCGTACGTCGATCGATTACGGTAACTGTGAGAATTACCTACTATAGTTCCGCATACGGTATCCAACCGACGGTAACTATAACGTTTCAAAAGATATACAACGAAATTCTACAGACTACCGTATTCCGATGGGCGGTTACCGTATGCAGAGTGTACTGTACGTATACTGTTTCGGTTGGCTTTTTGCCGGCACTTATTCGTTTTTGTGATTATGTATAGAATGACAGAAAAAGGGACAATGTGTGATGTGATATGGCTAGGGGTTGCTACGCAGCGTAGCTGCCCATTATAATTTTGTAGCGTCCCTTTGTCAGGCACGCACTCGTTGTGCTAAATTTGCCAGTCGAGCACATTTATCATATTCAGTTCCCATCAGTTCGTACCGTATCTCTACCCGCTCGCCAACCGTGCGTGATGTGTTTTTCTTCATTTTCCGCGTGTAGCCGCTATCTTTAGTAGGATACGGTACCCCGTGAAAGGTGCATGTACCCTACTGTCAATTCATCCATTAAGGCAACGGCTCGACCAGAAACACGTCCTACACCGCCACCATCGACTCGACGGGAGCTTCCTGCACCAGCTCCACCTCCACCATCATATGAAAGAGAGCAACAACTTCAACCACCAGTTCCAGCTTATGCTCAAGATACTCCAATACCACCACCACACTTCCAACCCAGACCACCTCCTGACTATCTCACAGCTTCGCATCGAGACAGAATGGTCGGTCAGGTAGGGTTAGATCCTCAGATCTTCGGTCTACCTCTGGATTTCAGATCCACCTAATCGCTCTCAATGAGCCATTCGACGGGAACATGCACGGAATGCGTGGCGCTGATCTGCAATGCTATCGCCAGTCGCGAATGGCCGGCTTTACGACTACCTTCAGAGCTATGCTGTCCAGTGATGTCCAGGTACGTCTGATAGACAGGTTGGATCGAGCTTTGCCGCGAATTACCCGGACATTCAAAAATTCATCGGCACCTACAGACATTTTGGAAACTGAAATTATTGTGGTAGTAGCAAGGAGCCAGTAGAAGCCGCTATGAGAATTCCTTAGTCAAGTTCACGGCTTATACCACCCCGTTCAGGACATGCTCCGCATTGTGCATACCGCCGACTGGGATACACCGGTGGTGAACATTCGAGGCGAACATTTATTCGCCAGCTGGCGTGCAGTGCTGAATGATGGGCAGCGAAGCACACGACCGCTGTACTCGTTCAGCAGACACGATGTGCTCACAGAACGTCATTGGTGAGTTACAATAGAACTACTATAGTAAGGTATGTTACGGTATTACGGTTTGGCTGACAAAGAGACTTTTAGGCCAGAAAAACGTATTTGGCACGGTTCGGCGACCGGCGGCATACGTGCTGGCGATTACTGTGACGGATGGAGGTCGAATTATTGTAAGGAAACAAAGTTAAGTACAAACTATCACAGTAATTCAATTACGGTATTCAGCGTCTCTTTCTGCGATGGCTGGCGATTTACGAGTTCCAGGTGGTTTGATCTCGGCAGCGCAGCCAGTAAGCTGCGATCACAAACTTATTGTTCTCTGTATCGAGGTTTGTCTTTCGATTATAAGTCTCCTTGGCTCCGAGGCGGTCTTCTTCATAGGAAGAAAGGAATATTGGCTAATTGGGCAGAACTGTTGGCTCATTCAAGCTCCTCCTAGCGCTGACATAGGCCAGGTTAAAACTGAAGTCATTCTTTCTAAATGCTCCAGCTGTCTACGATTCTTCTGAGCTCCCGCTACCCCCCCCCCCCCCCTGTTGTGCATTTCCTCGGGGACAGGCTGTTGCCCGGATAATAGTTCAAGAAAGGTTCTCTGAAAGAAGGCCCACTTAGCACCGTAAGCTTGTTGGCTGCTCATTTTTTCAATAAGGAGCCCATCGACGTAGGTTGGGGAGTAGGTAGTCAGGTTTTGAGAAAAAAGTTAGCTGATTCTCATAGTCTGATTTCTGTGTAATGCCCCATGAGTGACTCGGGGGAACTCATGGGGCATTGAGGGAGTGGGATGACGGGCCTCACTTACTCTATCGGCTAACATTTTGTACTGGTTCATTATTCCTAGGGAGGCTCCTGATAAATTTGATGGCCCCGAGGAATACCTTCTTTGTTCGCTGTTACTTCACTTATCATAGTCACAAGTTGTAGTTGAATGAGGCTCTAGAGCTTAACGAATACAGACAAGGATAATTTCTATCAGAGGCAAGCTACTTTTCGCTATGTATAAGTGGCCTATTCCCTCTTCTATAGCCCTACAGGGCCAACTCATGTCGATTCCATCCATTCATTGGCCCGATTCTCAGCCTTTCGATAGTGCTCATCCTTGTGTTTCAAACTGTTTTTGTTTACTTCAATTCATAGCCCTGTTTATTCAACACTTCATAGTAAACACTTGTTTCTCAGAATATGTCGAAATTCCATGGAGACAAAATCCTGAAGAAAAGACGATTGGGCAAAGTGATATGGTGATCGTCGCGTCATTGTCGTTGCCGTTGCCAACACCGTAAAGGTGCTACAGTAGCCTGCCAAAAATGAGCTACCGTATCTCGTGTACGATATGTGTTTGTACTGTAGGCACAGAATTCTCAGCAGCATACGCTTTAAATTTCTTACCCTCTCTCTCATTTTTTATTTTTTCCCATTATAATCTATCAAACCGAAATTTCTCTTCATCGTCTCTCATCTTTTTAATTGCTGACCCTCCTCTCCATACAAATGTTCTGCCGTCACACATCATGTCCGGTGTTTTTCTTGCCATTCCTTCTTAATTATTTCACTTTTTGTTTATTAATTACTTGAATGAATAACTTAGTGACGATGAATGATGACGTCATCTATCCTTTTGTGTACTGTATTTGACCCCCCCCCCCGTTGTGCGCCGCGTACATGCCCGCCGCCCCAGCATCTTTCAGCGTGTAGCCTATTTGATAGCGAATTTCGTCAAGAAAGCTTCTCATGTGTGCAATATTTGTATAGATCTGGTCAGACTTGATGTTACTTTTCAAATGTTTTTTACTTTCGTATAAAGTTAATTCTACAATTGTAATATTTGCCTTATGCCCTTAAAGGCAACGGTCACAAGTGCCGCATGGTGTTTTTACTTCTAGCTGAACAATGTTTTGTTCCAAGCTGGATTAACTTATCAAATCTCTATCTGAAGTGGGAAAAGCTTCAATTTTTCCCTGATAAAAGCCCCAGCATGTACTTCGGCCCATGCTGAGGTGTGTACAAAAGGTCCAAATACAAGAATTAATGCTAGAAAAGTACATGTGAGATTGCTTACGAAATTTCGTTCTGGAGTCTCGAGTACTTAAGGGGGCAAAGCCTAGGGAACTTGAAGCTCCTTCCGGTTGCATGAGTGTGAGGCATATTTCCCACTCGACACCTTCAAAGAGGAGTGGCATTTTGAGGTATGGAATTCCCATTGTCGCTCAAATTGGTGTAGTGGAACCCCGCAGAATGTGGTTCCTATGTATTCATTTGAGGAAAAGAGTACCGAACAAGGACTTGGTGCTCTGCGCATCTTGTCACCGCGACCACTCTTCTGAAGATTTATGGGTGTAAAGGAAGGGGACGTCGTATGTAAGAGGAAAATTTGAGGGGATAGTTCTAAAATGTTTGACCCTTCTCTAGGCCTGCCATTCATCACTCTTTCTATAGCAACTCGAGACCTCTATTTTGGTTCTTCCAAAGTGAAGGCCATTAGCAGGAATCGAAAAGGGGTCTTGGATGACATCGATTCTTTGTGAAGACCTGTTTCGGGACGATTTCTCAAGAACGGATCTTTTGTACGTCAAGCAGCTGGCAGCCCTGAAGCTTTTCTCGTAAATCCTAGTAGTAAAGAGAAGATCCATTTAGTGTTACTATTGGGTTGTAACATAAGTTCGTAGAGTTTTGTGTTAGGGTCATTTTACAAAGATTCGCTTTGTTTTTTGGCGAAGTGTATATATTCATTCGAAAGAGCTCTTTCTCCTCTATGAAATAGTTCTATTCGTTTTTTTGGATAATCTAGTTGAACGTCTTTTTTCTGGCTCACAATTGGAATATCCAGGAGGAGAAAATCAGCATTTTCG